GCAGGAAGGAAAAGGACGATGTCTTTGACCAAACAACTCCGAAAAGGACTCCAGAGCGACCGCACGAAAGTTCTGCATGACTTAGGGGAGCGAGCCAAGAGCATGCCGCAAAAGGAGCTGCTGGAGGCGCTGAAGACTTTTGGAGTAAGAAGCAAGAGAAAGCCAGGCTCCATCTCCCCGTTGCCCATGATCCGCGGGCCAGACGGGGCGGTACTCGACTCCTTTGAAGAAGTGGCAGCATGCTGGAGAAGGCATTTTGCTGAACAAGAAGATGGTCTTGTACAAACGGCTGAGGCATTGATGTGTCTACATGACTCTGATGCAAAAGAATATGAAGAGGAAGTACTATGGCAAGAAATCCCCACGCGAATGGCCATCGAGGCTGCATTCCGGCGAACTTCTGTCAATAGAGCATTCTTTGTTGATGGTGTCCCAGGGGACTTGCTGTCCAAACTACCAAGTGAGTTAGCTCGTGCGTATTATCCCTTGATGCTGAAACAGTCTGTTTTTGCCAAAGAAGCGCTCCTGCATAAAGGAGGACGGCTTGTCCCTTCTTTCAAGAAGGGAAGCCCGGCTGATATGAACTGCTACAGGAGCTTGTTCGTGTCCAGCGTCATTGGGAAAGCATTACGCAGAGTCTACAGAGAACGCTTAGGACCGATTCTTGATGACCATCGGATGAGTCTCCAATTAGGAGGTCTGGCAGGGCACAGCATCACACAGGCAAGCCACGTGTTATCGCTTTTTCACCGAAGTGCCATTCGACAGCAAGAAAGTGTGGCAATATTGTTCATTGATGTCCAGAATGCCTTCTATAAACTGCTACGGAGGCTATTTGTCGATGGCGTGCAAGATGTACGGTCAGTCGGGGAGCTCTTTCACTCCCTTGGCCTGCCGGATGAGAGCCATGCGGAGTTTGCTGCTTTGCTTGAAGAAGACACAGTCCTTGAATCATCGCAAGCCACATTCCATACAAAGCGCATGTTTGCTGAGTTCTATAAAACGACCTGGTTCAGTGTGCCAGGGTGCACGGACCTCACCTGGACCAGACGTGGCAGCAGACCTGGGGATTCGTTCGCTGACATTGCCTTTGGATTTGCATTGGCAAAGCTATTGACCCAGGTCGAGGCCCAGCTTGTTGCTAAGTACCCATTTGTCCAAATTGAATGGAATGGGCAGGCCACACCATTTGCCGATCAGAAATCTCAGTGCCTGCTTAGCCCTGTGATGCCGGTATGGGCCGATGACATAGCTATTGCTGTTAAGCATAAGTCGGCCGAAGCCCTAGTGCAGGAGCTTCCTGGGATTGCGGCCTTGGTGCTCCATCGATTGGTCGTGGCTGGACTCACACCAAACCTGAAAGCAAGCAAGACTGAGCTTTTCGTTGACATCAGAGGTCCAAGGTCATTGAAGGTCAAAAGGTGGCTTTCGCAGCAAGAATACAAGCTCGAACTACCAACTGCCCTGGTCCAAGAACCTCTGCGCCTTGTAGGGTACTACAAACACTTGGGTACATATATTCAACGCAATGGCTCATTGGAGAAGGAGCTGAAAGTGAAGCATGCAGTCGCGCACGATAGCTTCACCAGATACAAGTCGCAGATCTTCAGTAATCGCACAATGGACCTGGAGAAGAAGGTGCAGCTTTTCCGCTCCTTGGTCCTCAGTGCTGCCACGTACAATTGTGCAATTTGGCAACCTGAGACTAAACGACAGCAAAGACAGCTACGCGGGAATTTCCAGATGCTCTATAAAAGACTTGCGATGGGACATTTTGGAATTGTAGCAAAAGAATGGAGTATGATCAAAACCTGCGCTGTGTTAGGTCTGCCAATGACCGAATACATCTTGAGGGAACATCGACTGCGATACTTTCTGAAGATCTTGATGACTGGACAGCCACATCTGTGGGCCCTCCTTCAGCAAGAGCAGGCATGGTTTCATCTGCTCAAAGAGGATGTACAATGCCTGCGGGCGTTCTGCCCTGAAGCTGAGGTACCGGAGCTCACTGAAAATGATTGGCATATTTACCAACAATGGGCACAGGACCGCCCTTTGATGTGGAAGCGGTTAATCCGCAAGATGATGGCGCGGTGCCTTGCCCACCAAAGAAGGGAATATGAGTGGAATACATGGAATGCTGCGGTTGTACATGAATTGCGACAAGCAGGAGCATTGCCTTCAGAAAAGTATTGCCCAGGCTCCCAGCATTTCTGTCTTCGTTGCAAGAAAAGTTGCAAGCGGGCATCCGACCTTGCTGTACATGCTTTTAAAAAGCACGGAAGGGTGACGGAAGCCAGACAGTTTGTGATCGGTTCGCAATGCTGTGCATGTTTAAAACATTATAGCAGCTATGTCAACCTTGTAAATCATGTCAAAAACAGCCGCACATGTCTCCAGTTCTACAGGTCAAAGCCGACTGTTGTACAGCCAGAGCCAGGTGTCAATAGTAGAAGTGCTACTGCTGCAAAAGGTGGTCTTGAAGATCCACATTTTGTTGCTCAGGGCCCTCATGAACTCTTTTTTGTGGCATCTCATGATACTGACCCACAGATCGAGCATGAAGTCAAGGCTCTTAAACGTAGATGGACGACGATACTTGACGATGCCCCGGAGCAGGATGTCTTCCCGCAAAGGTTAAGAACAGAGACTTGTGAGACATATCTATACCCAGATGAGATCATGAGTGCTTTCTTGCAGTGGGTTGCTGAAGCGGAAGACACATTTCTGCTACACCAGCTGAGTGTGTGTGCGCAATTTGAAGCTTCGTTTACATTCGGATGGCTTCTGACAGGGCAAGCTGAATGTGTGAGAGATGAAGGCGATGTTTTCATTTGCATTGAGAAGCACCTGTCTAACTGCGAGGCCTTTCCTTTCCAAGTGGTCAGGCAACCGGCATACCAACCGGTTGTCTTCGCGCATCTCTTTTCTGGACATCGAAGGAAAGGAGATGTACAGATGTGGCTTGAAAGCGCGGGGGCCATGGCACTTTCGATCGATATCATATTTGATCTTGACATGGGCGACCTTAGCCGCCCGGAAACATTTGCCTTTTTCGCAAAGGCGCTCAAAGACAATGTGCTGAATGGCCTACTAGCCGGCCCCCCCTGTGAAACCTGGAGCCGTGCGAGGGGCACGGCCCTCGCCGATGGCTCGAAAGGCCCGAGGGTTGTCCGGACACAACAGAGGCCAAGTGGAATCCTCTCGTTGACTAAGGCCGAAGATAAACAGGTGCTCCTTGGTTCCCGGCTCCTCGGGATAGCGGTGCACCTGCTTGTCATTGCGCTGTGTGTGGGGGCGTCAGGGCTCCTGGAACACCCCGCAGAAGAGAGCCACGATTTCATGCACGTGTCTATTTGGCGAACATCAATCATGCGCTTGCTTCTAAAGTACCCTGGCTGCAGGAAGCTAAGGGTATGTCAAGGCTATTATGGTGCGGCGGCTATCAAGCCAACGGACCTCCTGCTTATCAACATTGATGCAAGTGCCGAAGAATTCCTGCTCAAGAGCAGGAAGACGAAGCTTCCCACAACTGCAGCCATTGGAAAGCTCAGCGATGGCACATGGGCGACTACTCGCCTAAAGGCCTACCCGGAGATTTTCTGTGAAGCCCTGTCACAGCTCCTCCTAAGGAGTCAGCCTGTGGCTGCAGATTCGCCCCCTATCCCCCATGAATTCGTTAAAGCCTGCAAAGATTTGATGCAGAGCTTCGACGAAGGTGCAGCGATGGGGGCGGATTTCTGTGGGAAACAAGCCCAACCTTTAATTCAGAATTAGATGCATTTTGCGGCCACGAACAGAGTTATCGGCGAGCGCAAGAGCCAAAAAAAGAGCTTGCTTGCTTGTTTGTTTGTGTTTGTGTTTGATCGTTTGCCTGTCTGTCCGTTTGTTATTGATTTCAGGATGTTTACCCGTTTCAAGATGAAGGTCGAGATCAGAGGTGTGGCCTCTGATTTGACACAACAACATGTGAGGCAGTGTCCATATGTTCCGTTTGGTTGTATTTGGTCAACTGGCAGATCTCATTCTCGTGATCATGGGACGTGGGTCTTTACTGTTATGGTACTGAGAACTCCATGGGTCACCACCAATCATCCATGTGGGAAGGACATCCTCCCTCTCCTCAATAGTTAGAATCATCCATATCCCATCCAAAAGATAACTCCGGTTTCATCCAGAGTGGTCATTCTGGCCTCAATATGTTGCCTGGCCTTCTGATTAAAAGATCACGTTGTTCGAACCACCTCCAGGCTCTTTGGCAGGCTGTTTCCGGTCTCTCCTCGCGCCTGGACTCCAGCAGCGGCGTCCTCGGGCGCCTGGAGCCCGTCGCGGCGTCGGCGGCGCCCGCGGCCGCCTCGGCGCCGCGGGCGTCGTCGGCGTCGGCGGTGCGAGCAGTGCAGTCGATGGAGTTGGCGACGCAGCGGCTGGCGGAGACGTGTGCGAAGTGGACGGCGCCCGGAGAGAAAGGATCCATTTTGAGCTCTGTGGTTGAAGTTCGGGAGTAGAGGAGGGGTTCAGGTGGACAAACAATCTTGCAGCGTGTGCAGATTGCGTGAAGGGTGCGGTCCTTTGGTTTAACCTCGTCGAGCATGTTTGAACCCGTTTGTTCAGAATAATTGCAACCCCACTGCTGTGTGGTCATTTCATCACTTGGAGGTTCCTGGGTCCTGAAAAGTGATCTACGACATGGCCCCAACATCAGAGTGATGGACCCGTTGCCCAGAGGTCCAAGAGGCCAATAGCCAATAGCCGGAGATCATGATCAAAACGTATACTGATACCCGTAGACATCATGCTGTATGAAAAAACTTTTTTACATCTTGTGCTGCTGTTTTAGCCCGTATACAAGCCCGTATGCAAGTGTTGTATCATGCCCGTATACAATTTATATGTATGGTTTTAGAATGTTTTAGATGTCGCTCGTGTGCTCCATGCTCCACCGCTCCGGTGTCTTTTTGAGCTCCACCGCTCCGGCCGTCGGTTCGGCGCCGGACGCGCAGGTCTTGGCGGCCAGTGCCTTTTGGGCGGCTCGCATTTACAGCTGGTGGGGTGCCCCATTCACAGTGTGAAGAGGGTGGAGCAGTGGAGGGAGGTGATTCCAAACTGGGAAGGCCTTGGCGCCTTTTGGACGCTGGCTTGCTTTTGGATGGTTGAGGGTTCCGGCAGTTCGGGAAGTGTTTAATGCAGCACAGGACTTGTGGCGTCAGTTCGGGCAGTTTGACTACGAAATGCTCACTTGCAAACTTGGCAGACCCCAAGGTTTGGTCAAACAATGTCAAGCACTTGTTCATCAGAATGCTGTCTACCGTTCGCCTTTCACCAAGAGCAGATCGTCAATCCGGGCTTCACCAGCCACGCCCGACCCCTGGCGACGAGATCTCGATTTCAGGAGCTTGCTCGTGGTCCCTCTTGCGCCCGGAGACCTCAGCGACGATGATGAAGTTTAAGTTTACGTACAGTGTATGTGAGTGTCCCATGCCCAACTCGATGCCTGGATCTTCGAGTATAGTGGTTGGTCAAGGTCAGTCAAATTTCACTGTTAGAAGATGTTGAAAGATTCTGGTCCCTGTTAGCACCTCACGACATTCTGCAGGGAGTGTTGAGAGATGGGGAGTCTCCATTCACGAGACTCACGAGCTATACGGCATGTTGGACGCGACTGGTCCAGGTGGTTGGCGGGGCTGGCGGTGTACCATGTGATGCTGGCCCTGGTGGTGCAGCCCTTGGTCTTGCCCAAGGAGTGGGTTGGCCGAAGCTTTGGCCGGGTCCGATGGGCTGGACGGGCCACGAGAACTGATGCGTGGGCGCCCCCCTTCATGGAGGCTATGAGCAGCGATGCCTTGCCTGGTTCTTGGGGTCCTTGAAGTTGATGCCGTTGAGGGACGTGCATTTTTCGTGTCACACATGTATTCTATTCATCAATATTCATCATATTATTCATAAGACTTGTGTCAGTGGTATTGGTAAGGTCCCACAGGAAGTCACTGAGCTTCGCTCTTCGCCCATTTTCCGCGTGGCCCGAACCCGGCGGATATCTGGACAGCGTGCGGGTGGCAGGCGGCTCGGGTGGACCCAGGAGGAGCTACTGTGGAGAAGGTTGAATAACAAGCACCTGCTATTCTGTATCAGTAAATTCTGTATCTCGTAGGGTGCGCCAAGCCCTTTTCGAGTGGGATAGTCCCGATGGCCCCTATGTCTGGCAGAATTCCTTGCAGTCTACTGCATCATACTGTATTCCTTAGCCTGAGATTTGACATTTGGTCGATGTTTTGAGCCTTGATCTGATACGATTTGATTGCTCAGTGGATTTGGCACGTTCGTGCCCTACAATGAAACATATCAACAATAACAATTGTCCTGGGATTTTTGCCAGTTGATCGGGCAAATCGACATCAGGAGAAACAGACCTTCCCTGGCTGCGAGGCCTCGGACTCGTCCACCCGATCGCCAGGCCATGGCGAAGGCCGAGGCGGAGGCGGCTCCGCCCGAAGTCCGGCCGTGGCTCCTGCAGAGGCGATGCGATCGGTGGGTCACCCGAGAGTAGAGAAATCCTGAGAGATTGGTTGCAACGCAGGGCTTTACCAATATATTATAGAAATTCTTGAGGAGAAGGCACCTGTGGACGTTCAAGGAGAAGCTTTACCATGGCGAGATCCTTACTTTTCTTGAGGAGATCCTTCCCGTGGACTTTCCAAACGAACTGGCCGTCCCGGACAAAACCCAGTTCGCCCTCGTCAGCGTCACCGCCCTCGTCAGCTGGATGTCACGTCGCCACATGAGGCTGCTGCGGTTGGTTTTGGACCTCGTCACTGGACTGCTCAAGTTCCTGGTGCTCGCGGGCAGTTGCTTATGGGCCTACCGGAACCTCGCCAGTTTCTTTCAGCCTGGCCAAACACAGCGACATAGAGACAGACATACACGATTGGACCAACGGGCATGGACGGGCATGGTCCGTAGAAAATATCCACTGGCATGAGGTGAAACCGTGCCATATGGTCTAAGGTGTCCTTCAGCATGGTGGAACCACCTGCACCAGGTCTTGCCTTGCCCGCTTTTTGGGAACACCTGCCTTTCAGCATCAGCATGCCGTCCGGACCTGAGGATTCGGCTGATCTCCGTGCAGAAGTTTGGCCGCCCGAAATGCAGGGGAGATGTGGTGGTGGGAGACGAGAGGAGACGGGTGCAGACGGGATGTCCATAAGGCCATAAGGGTTGGTTGGATCGTGTCAACATGTGTCAACCAACATCAACCAATTCTCCACAAGCAAATCTCGCCCAAAGTCATTCAGACTTTTGCAAGCCAATCCGTGTTATGTCCTTGTGCTTCGCCTCAAGGCACAAGGAGGGACTCTGGCCAACCCGCACCCTTGGGCGAAGCATGTCTGAGACACCCTTGAGTACCGGCCGCCACCGTCCACACCGGCCGGTGGACCAGGCTATCTCATCCATGAGTTCGACCCGTGGTGCCCTGGCGGGGGTGTGAGTCGCGAGAGACACATCATGAGTAGAGTAGCTGGCGTTTTTTGGGAGGAATGCATTTACCCAGTGGAATAAAGATTCAGGAAGTTGGTTTGGTCTTTTGTAAAGCCAATACAGAGAGAGAGAGAGAGAGAGAGATCAAGATTCGCTCGATTCACATGCGGCGGGTTTCTCAGACCGCTCGCTCAAGCCGCTTGGGTCGCGACGAGTTTCATCAGCTTCATACCTGAGAGTCGACTGGCAGTGACAGCTGTTGAGGTTCAACGCACGAGCGACGAAGTATCTCTCGAAAAATGGCTGGCATGCGTTCTTCCACTGGTACGACTATATGAGCTCCTTGGAAGTCCCAGATTCAGCTTCTGTGAGATGTTTGGGTTGTTCTTCCGGACATTATGCACGGTAGTTCTTTCCCGGCCGCGTTCTTTTGCATTCTTTTGGGGTGTTCTTGAGATGCTTGACACCATCACTCTCCCCAGGCCCCTGATAAAGGCGTCCTTTTTCAACCGCTCCAATAATTTCATTTTTCGTGTGACCGACTGCCAAGAGGATTCCAAAGGTTTTTGGCAGTTCCAAAACTCCACAACACGCATGCCAACCATGAGGATTTCAAAAACAAAATGCCAACGTGGCGCAACCCCGCCGAAGGGCTTCCCTCCCTTTTCTTCTTGTCACCCCCACCTTCACACCACCCCCCCACCTCCACCCCCCTCTCCTGAGCTCCTTCTTGCCTCCCGTCCGAGGTTGGTATCCCTTGGGTCGGCCCATTGGCACCACCATCTACCCCGGGATGCAGATCCTCTCGGCCGCTCGGCGCGCGCAGGGAGTGCCGAGCCGAGCCGGTGGCGGACGACCGAAGACCGGCGCGGCGCGGCGCTGAGGTCGGGATTCATCGCTTCCTGCGGCTCTTCCCGGACGCCTGGCGCGGGATGAAGGTCGTTGTATGTCGTTTATAAATACGTACTGTATATATATATATATAGTTATTTTATTGTTATATATTTATTGATTATTGTCTATTTTTTAGACCTTTATATTTTTGAAAGGTTTTTGTTGGACCTTTCTCCACTCGAACTTGATGCCTTTTGGAACCCTCATTGCATAGTGTATAGCATAAATTAAGGTTGGACAATGGATTCCCTAGTGGATGTCCTTGCATTTACACAGATATAAAGAAAATGTGTATGTGTTTTGTTTAGTATCAATGTTGCAGAGCATTCTTTCAAAGTCTTAAGACACTTTTGTATTTATGTTTGCTTCGTCTAGGTCTTGCAGCGTGTCTCAGGATAGCCGCTGGGACTTGCCAGGCAAGGAGTTGGTGCCCCCCCGGTGGCTGCCGATGCTGCCGGGCCACGGCACCCTCTCGGTGGGGAAGATGTCGGTGAACAACGTGTGCGTGATGGTCCCTGCGTGGCACCTGGGCACCCAGAAAAGCTGACGATCTTCTTCCGCCATCCACCGGTGGGTAGGGAGGACACGGGTGAGTTTGGGAGTAAGATACTACACCTGCTGCTGCTGATGAATTTGGGTGGCTGGTGGAATATACTCCACCCCTTTCCTCTTAGCCCTGAGGGTCATGTTGCAAGAAATCCTCACCTTCCAGGGCCACAAAGTTTCAGGGTTGACCTTTCTTTTGAAGGAAACCTCTTCTATTCATTTCCATTCTCGGTACCTTAGAGCCGTAAGAGTAGCGCCTCTCTCTCTCTCTCTGCATACATGCAGGCACGTATTGTAATACATATCGCCTGTAGATTTCTCAGGTCCTTGAAGCCAAGAGAAGACTCGGACGAATCTTCGCCACGGCTTTCTTCTTCCGGGGGGCGACCCTCACCGTCGAGGTTGGCCGCGGTGGCCACGCTTTCCATCTTCCTTCTCACCTGGGAAGTGTCCGAATCCTCCGGCGCCGCGGTCTGCGCCGCGCTGGTCATGTCCATCATCCCTGCGCACCTCATGCGCTCGATGACAGGTGGGCGGGGGCCGGGTGGAGCAGTTCAAAGCCTATCACCCAAGCTGAATTGTGCGCTACTACCGATACAGGGTGACGCATGAGTGTGGTTTGTTACTTTTTCCCTGCCAGCCATATCAACCTCCCAGCTCGTTTTGGGACCCCGCACTGGGGGGAGATGCTGGGGGTCGAAGCGGCAGAAAGGTGAGTTCGACAACGAGTGCGTGGCGATGGCAGCCTTTTGTACCGCCTTCTGGCTGTGGTGCCGAAGCATCAGAGCCTCAGTCGACCAGTGAATGCACTGATTTGATTGAACCTTTTCTACGTGACAGGTGCACTCTAAGTAAAAGACGCTTGAGGGAGTCGAATCGTTCGACAGACTGACTGAGAATCCCAAGTTCCTTGGAGTAGCATACCTTGAGCAGACCTCACCTGTTTCCTTGCCCCCCCCCGCGAATGGGCTATGCTTGAAGCTCAGGACATACCACTAGCTGGCCCTGGGCCGTGCCAGCCGCCCTCGCTTACGCCGCTTGCTTTCGATGGGACCGGTGCTTGTGATCTCCGAACGGCTGCCTGCAGCTGTGTTAGATGCGCTGAGTGTAGCGCATACCAAGTCCATAACCTGTAGCCCACCCCGGCGCTACGCCCCCGGTGATCCGCTGTGGCATTTTTTTTGAAACGGTGAAGGGATCGCCCGCAGGGCATCGATCTCGCTCAGGTCTTCCACGAAAGAGGGTGGTCATGATCTACATACCTGCCGAGGGGGGCGTATTTTCGGTCGACCCAGTTATTCCTTCCAGGCCCCATGTTTACCTTTACAATCGCATGTTCCCGACCAGGGGTAACTTTCTGAACTCCGGATGACTAAGCCAAGAGATATGTTCTTTCTCACTGCAAAGATGTAGCATGCGCTTTGATTTCCAGTGCTTCCATTCTTTTCTTTGCACTGTGCCGGGGGTCAGAGACCGTTTTGGCACTGTGCTGTGCTCGTCCAACCCCCTCAAAAGGAAGAGAACAATCTAGAGAGGGTTCTTGGCTATTGTGGCTAAACACATGCATGGTTTGCATAATATTATGAATCATGACTATATAAATATATAATATACATGTTTGATCATGTTTTACTTGTGCTCAATATCGCTTGATTTCAAAGCAGTGGGCTGCCCCTCCGAATCGCGGTTCACTGCGATTCGGTGCCGGGCCAAGGCGGGGGCAGTGGCCACATGGGGCGGCTACATTTTTGTCGGGCGGCTCAGGGATGTTGACGCTTCCGTTTCGTTTTTTCACTCAAATTTGTCGGATTGATAATGACAAGCT